GTGAGTCTCATACACTCACTCACACTCACTCACACTCACTCACACACACACTCACTCACTCATACACTCACACTCACTCATACACTCACTCACTCATACACTCACACTCACTCACACTCATACACTCACTCATACACTCACTCATACACTCACTCATACACTCACTCACACTCACTCACACTCACTCACACACACACACACTCACTCATACACTCACTGACACTCACTCATACACTCACACTCACACTCACTCACTCATACACTCACTCACTCGTACACTCACTCACTCGTACACTCACTCACTCATACACTCACTCACTCATACACTCACTCACTCATACACTCACTCATACACTCACTCATACACTCACTCAAACACTCACTCACACACACACTCACTCAAACACTCACTCATACACTCACTCATACACTCACTCACTCATACACTCACTCACACACTCACTCACACTCACACATACACTCACTCACTCATACACTCACTCACACTCACTCACACTCACTCATACACTCACTCACTCATACACTCACTCACTCATTCATACACTCACTCACACTCACTCATACACTCACTCACTCATACACTCACTCATACACTCACTCACTCATACACTCACTCACACTCACTCATACACTCACTCACTCACACTCACTCACTCACTCACACTCACTCACACTCACTCACTCATACTCACTCACTCATACACTCACTCACTCATACACTCACTCATACACTCACTCACTCACTCATACACTCACTCACACTCACTCACACTCACTCACACTCATACACTCACTCACTCATACACTCACTCACTCATACACTCACTCACTCATACACTCACTCATACACTCACTCACTCATACACTCACTCATACACTCACTCATACACTCACTCACTCACTCATACACTCACTCACTCACTCATACACTCACTCACTCATACACTCACTCACTCAAACACTCACCAGAGTGTCGTGTGAGTAGCACACAGACAAAGCTCCCCCAGGTAGCCTCTGGCAGGGCTGTAGGGGCAAGTGCCTCCCTCCCCCCATGTCTCTGTCTCTCCCCGTGTCTCTCCCCGTGTCTCTCCCCGTGTCTCAGTGTCTCTGTGTCTCTGTGTCTCAGTGTCTCAGTGTCTCTGTCTCTGTGTCTCAGTGTCTCAGTGTCTCAGTGTCTCAGTGTCTCAGTGTCTCTGTGTCTCAGTGTCTCAGTGTCTCAGTGTCTCAGTGTCTCTGTGTCTGTGTCTCTGTGTCTCTGTGTCTCTGTGTCTGTGTCTCAGTGTCTCTGTGTCTGTGTCTCAGTGTCTCAGTGTCTCTGTGTCTCAGTGTCTCGGTGTCTCAGTGTCTCTCAGTGTGTCTCAGTGTCTCAGTGTTCCTGTGTCTCTGTGTCTCAGTGTCTCAGTGTCTCTGTGTCTGTGTCTCAGTGTCTCAGTGTCTCAGTGTCTCTGTGTCCCAGTGTCTCAGTGTCTCTGTGTCTCTGTGTCCCAGTGTCTCTGTGTCTCAGTGTCTCGGTGTCTCAGTGTCTCGGTGTCTCAGTGTCTCAGTGTCTCAGTGTTCCTGTGTCTCTGTGTCCCAGTGTCTCTGTGTCCCAGTGTCTCTGTGTCTCAGTGTCTCTGTGTCTCTGTCTCTGTGTCTCTGCGTCTCTGTGTCTCTGTGTCTCTGGGTCTGTGTCTCAGTGTCTCAGTGTCTCAGTGTCTCTGTGTCTCAGTGTCTCAGTGTCTCAGTGTCTCTGTGTCTCTGTGTCTGTGTCTCTGTGTCTCTGTGTCTCTGTGTCTCTGTCTCCCCGTGTCTCTGTGTCTCAGGTGGTCATTCGGAGTCCTCCTGTGGGAGACGTTCACTCTGGGTGGTTCTCCCTACCCCGTGTCTCTGTGTCTCTGTGTCTCTGTGTGTCTGTGTCTCAGTGTCTCTGTCTCCCCGTGTCTCTGTCTCCCCGTGTCTCTGTGTCTCAGGTGGTCATTCGGAGTCCTCCTGTGGGAGACGTTCACTCTGGGTGGTTCTCCCTACCCCGTGTCTCAGTGTCTCTGTGTCTCTGTGTCTCCCCGTGTCTCTGTGTCTCTGTGTCTCAGTGTGTCTCTGTGTCTCTGTGTCTCTGTGTCTCAGGTGGTCATTCGGAGTCCTCTTGTGGGAGACGTTCACTCTGGGTGGTTCTCTCTACCCCGTGTCTCTGTGTCTCTGTGTCTCCCCGTGTCTCTGTGTCTCTGTGTCTCAGTGTGTCTCTGTGTCTCTGTGTCTCTGTGTCTCTGTGTCTCAGGTGGTCATTCGGAGTCCTCCTGTGGGAGACGTTCACTCTGGGTGGTTCTCCCTACCCCGTGTCTCTGTGTCTCTGTGTCTCTGTGTCTCTGTGACGATGATGATGAGTCTCTGTGTCTCTGTCTCTGTGTCTCTGTGTCTCTCTGTGACGATGACGATGAAGAGTCTCTGTGTCTCTGTGTCTCTGTGTCTCTCTGTCTCTCTGTGACGATGACAATGAAGAGTCTCTGTGTCTCTGTGTCTCTGTCTCTCTGTGACGATGACGAGTCTCTGTGTCTCTGTGTCTCTGCGTCTCAGTGTCTCTGTGTCTCTGTGTCTCAGTGTCTCTGTGTCTCTGTGTCTCAGTGTCTCTGTGTCTCTGTGTCTGTGTCTCAGTGTGTCTCTGTGTCTCTGTGTCTCTGTGTCTCTGTGTATCAGTGTCTCTGTGTCTCTGTGTCTCAGTGTCTCTGTGTCTCTGTGTCTCAGTGTCTCTGTGTCTCTGTGTCTGTGTCTCAGTGTGTCTCTGTGTCTCTGTGTCTCTGTGTCTCAGTGTCTCTGTGTCTCTGTGTCTCAGTGTCTCTGTGTCTCTGTGTCTGTTTCTCTGTGTCTCAGGTGGTCATTTGGAGTCCTCCTGTGGGAGACGTTCACTCTGGGTGGTTCTCCCTACCCCGTGTCTCTGTGTCTCTGTGTCTCTCTGTGTCTCTGTGTCTCTGTCTCTGTGTCTCAGGTGGTCATTCGGAGTCCTCCTGTGGGAGACGTTCACTCTGGGTGGTTCTCCCTACCCCGTGTCTCTGTGTCTCTGTGTCTCTGTGTGTCTGTGTCTCAGTGTCTCTGTGTCTGTGTCTCAGTGTCTCTGTGTCTCTGTGTCTCAGGTGGTCATTCGGAGTCCTCCTGTGGGAGACGTTCACTCTGGGTGGTTCTCCCTACCCCGTGTCTCTGTGTCTCTGTGTCTCTGTGTCTCTGTCTCCCCGTGTCTCTGTCTCCCCGTGTCTCTGTCTCCCCGTGTCTCTGTCTCTGTCTCCCCGTGTCTCTGTGTCTCAGGTGGTCATTCGGAGTCCTCCTGTGGGAGACGTTCACTCTGGGTGGTTCTCCCTACCCCGTGTCTCTGTGTCCCAGTGTCTCTGTGTCTCAGTGTGTCTCTGTGTCTCTGTGTCTCTGTGTCTCAGTGTCTCTGTCTCCCCGTGTCTCTGTGTCTCAGGTGGTCATTCGGAGTCCTACTGTGGGAGACGTTCACTCTGGGTGGTTCTCCCTACCCAGTGTCTCTGTGTCTCTGTGTCTCTGTGTGTCTGTGTCTCAGTGTCTGTGTGTCTCAGTGTGTCTCTGTGTCTCTGTCTCCCCGTGTCTCTGTGTCTCAGGTGGTCATTCGGAGTCCTCCTGTGGGAGACGTTCACTCTGGGTGGTTCTCCCTACCCCGTGTCTCTGTGTCTCTGTGTGTCTGTGTCTCTGTCTCCCCGTGTCTCTGTGTCTCTGTGTCTCTGTGTCTCTGTCTCTGTGTCTCAGGTGGTCATTCGGAGTCCTCCTGTGGGAGACGTTCACTCTGGGTGGTTCTCCCTACCCCGTGTCTCTGTGTCTCTGTGTCTCTGTGTCTCTGTGTCTCAGTGTCTCTGTGTCTCTGTGTCTCTGTGTCTCAGTGTCTCTGTGTCTCAGTGTCTCTGTGTCTCTGTGTCTCAGTGTGTCTCTGTGTCTCTGTGTCTCTGTCTCCCCGTGTCTCTGTGTCTCCCCGTGTCTCTGTGTCTCTGTGTCTCTGTGTGTCTGTGTCTCAGTGTCTCTGTGTCTCAGTGTGTCTCTGTGTCTCTGTGTCTCAGTGTCTCTGTGTCTCAGTGTGTCTGTGTCTCAGTGTGTCTGTGTCTCAGTGTCTCTGTGTCTCTGTCTCTGTGTCTCAGGTGGTCATTCGGAGTCCTCCTGTGGGAGACGTTCACTCTGGGTGGTTCTCCCTACCCCGTGTCTCAGTGTCTCAGTGTCTCTGTGTCTCAGTGTGTCTCTGTCTCCCCGTGTCTCTGTGTCTCAGGTGGTCATTCGGAGTCCTTCTGTGGGAGACGTTCACTCTGGGTGGTTCTCCCTACCCCGTGTCTCAGTGTCTCTGTGTCTCAGTGTCTCTGTGTCTCTGTGTCTCTGTGTCTCAGTGTCTCAGTGTCTCAGTGTCTCAGTGTCTCAGTGTCTCTGTGTCTCTGTGTCTCTGTGTCTCTGTGTCTCTGTCTCTGTGTCTCAGGTGGTCATTCGGAGTCCTCCTGTGGGAGACGTTCACTCTGGGTGGTTCTCCCTACCCCGTGTCTCTGTCTCCCCGTGTCTCTGTGTCTCAGTGTCTCTGTGTCTCTGTCTCCCCGTGTCTGTGTGTGTCTGTGTCTCTGTGTCTCTGTGTCTCTGTCTCCCCGTGTCTCTGTGTCTCAGTGTCTCTGTGTCTCTGTCTCCCCGTGTCTGTGTGTCTCTGTGTCTCTGTGTCTCTGTGTCTCTGTCTCCCCGTGTCTCTGTGTCTCTGTGTCTCTGTGTCTCTGTGTCTCAGTGTCTCAGTGTCTCTGTGTCTCCCCGTGTCTCTGTCTCCCCGTGTCTCTGTCTCCCCGTGTCTCTGTGTCTCTGTCTCTGTGTCTCAGGTGGTCATTCGGAGTCCTCCTGTGGGAGACGTTCACTCTGGGTGGTTCTCCCTACCCCGTGTCTCTGTGTCTCTGTGTCTCTGTGTCTCTGTGTCTCTGTGTCTCTGTGTCTCTGTGTCTCTGTGTCTCAGTGTCTCTGTGTCTCAGTGTCTCTGTGTCTCT